GAGCCCGGCCCGAGCCCCGCCCGGACGCGGGCGGAAGTGACGCGCCACTTCCGGCCCGCGCCCTACGCAAGCCCGGCTCCTGCCAAATTCCACTGGTTCTCATGATGCCTTTTGTTTTGTTTTATAATGGACTCAGTTGCCAACATTTAAGATCCTAGAGGTTTCACACAAACATCTTGGATTTCTGGCCGCTCTCGAATAACTGAGAAGTCGGGCATGGCGGGTTTGTGGGACAAATGCGTGAGTGAGTGGGCTCGGGGCGGGGGGAAGGAGGGAGGCACGGCGGCGTGTTTATCTGCTTCTTTTTCTAAACCAAGCCGGTTGCCCTGTCCCGCCCACGCCGCCTGCCTTACTTGGCGGTACTTCCACAGCTGGTTGCCCTTCATGCTGTGGCAGTCATAGAGGGTGACTGGGCTGGTGTGGGAGATGGCGTCAAAGCAGAACTTCTTGGTGTGCTGGGGGTCTCCGGGCCGGATGTCCTCTCTCCAGGTGAAGGTGAACACCTGTGCATATAGGGACATCGTCACGGGGACGGCAAAACCAGGGGACTTTCTCCTTTTTGGAGTGATAGTTAAACACAGAGATCCAGAAAACACTATTGACCACACCTGTTCCAATCACCCAGCTTCAAAAGTTACCAACTCGCGGTGGATCTTGTTCCAGCTCTACCCCCACCACGACCCCCCACCCCCACATTATTCTGAAGCAAATTAGAGACCTCACATCGTGTCAGGTGTAAAGAGTTCACGAAAGTGCCATTATAGCAATAAAAAGTTACCACGAAGTCCTCAATGTCATCGGGTAGCTAGAGTTCAAGTGCTCTTGCCTTGTAAGTTTCTTTTCATAGTTTGAATCAGGATCCAGACCAGGTTCACATACTGCATTTGGCTGAGAAGCGTTTTTTGTTTATTTTTTCCAGCAGCTTCATTGAAGACTAACTGGCGTACAATAGACTGCACACATTGGAAGTGCACAATTTGATATATCTGACTTGTTTACAGCTGTGAAACCACCACCATCATCAAGGTCATGAATATATCCATCACCCCAAAAGTATCCTCACATCCCCTATGGTCTCTTCCTCCTGTCCCTCCTCATTCCCCATGCCTCTGGGCAACCACTCCTCTGTTTTCCATCACTAGAGATTAGTTTGCAAGTGCTAGAATTTTAAATAAAAGGAAGCTTACAGTGTGTATTTTTTTTTTGTCTGATTTCTTCCACTCAACATCATTTTGTTAGGACAGCATTTATCAATAGTCTGTTCCTTGCCATTGCTAAGTAGTATTTCACTGCAACGTACTCCTTTTACCTGTTCTTAGACATTTGGATGGCTCTCAGTTTTTGGTTATTACAAATACAGCAGCTAAGAACATTTGTGTACAAGTCATTGTATAGACATATACCTTCTTTTCCCTTAGACAAATAGCTCAGAGTGGTATGGCTGGATCATACGATAGATGAATGTTTAACTAAGAAACTGCCAAACTGTTTTCCAAAGTGCTTGTACCATTTACATTCCGACCAGCAGTGTATTCTTCCAGTTCCCCTACATTCTTGCCAACCTTTGGTATGGTCAGTCTTCTGAATTTTAATTTCCATTTTTCCAACGGAGTTAAGCATTTTTAATGTGTTTATTTGCCACTAATATACCTTCTTTGCTAAAGTGTCTGTACAAATCTTTTGCCATTTTTAAAAAAAGAATTTATTTATTTGACGGAGAGAGACACAGTGAGAGCAGGAACACAAGCAGGGGGAGTGGGAGAGGGAGAAGCAGGTCTCCCGCTGAGCAGGGAGCCTGATGTGGGGCTCGATCCCAGGACCCTGGGATCATGACCTGAGCCAAAGGCAGACGCCAAACGACTGAGCCACCCAGGCACCCTGCCCATTTTTAATTGGATTTTTTTCTTATTATTGAGTTTTGAGAGTTTTATATATTTTGGATCAAAGTCCTTTATCAGATACATGTTTTGTAAACATTTCCTCCCAGTCTGTGGCTTGCCTATTTTCTCAACAGTGTCTTTTAAAGAACAGAAGTTTGTTTTTGTTTTTTTGTTTTTGTTTTTTAAAGAAGTCCAATTTATCAGTGTTTTCCTTTTATGGATTGTGCTTTTGGTGTTTTATCTAAGAAATCATTGCTTTATCCAAGGTCACGAACAGTTTTGCCTACGTTTTCTTCTGAAAGGTTTTAGGTTTTAAGTCAATACACCATTTTGAGTTAATTTTTCACATATAATATAAGGCATGTATTGAACAATTTTTGGGGGCATATGGATATCCAATTGTTCCAGCACCATTGGTTGGAAAAGACTTATCTTTTCTCCACCGAACTGCCTTTCAACACTGGCAAAAACTGATTGTCCATATACATGTGGGTCTATTTTTGGTCTCTTGATTCTGTTCCATTGATCTTTCTTTATGTCAATACCACACTGTCTTGAATGCTGAGAGTTTATAATGTATCTTGAAACCAGGCAGTGTGCGTCCTTTAACTCTGGACTTCCTTTTGCAAGTTGTTTTGGCTATTCTAGGTCCTGTCCATTTCTGTGTGAATTTTACAATCAGCTTTTCACTTTCTGTAAGAAAAGCCTGCTAAGATGTTAGGATTGTGATGAATTTACATAGTGGTTTGGAAAGAACTGACACCAATACTGAGTCTTCCAATCTCTGGACATGGCACAGATCTCCACTTACTTGGGACTTCTCTCTTTTTTACCAAAAATGGTTTGTAGTTTTCAGTGTACAGGTCTTTTGTCAATGACAGACCTGAGGATTATATTTTTTGGGGGTTATAATAAGTGCATGTTTTTAATTTTAATTTCTGATTCTTCATTATTCATATATAGAAATACAGTTGATTTTTGTATCTTACAACTTTGATAAGTTCATTTATTAGTTCTGCTAGTTTCTCTGTAGACTCATTTGAATTTTCCACAAAGATGATCATAGAGTCTTCCAAATAAAGATTGTTTTCCTTCTTTGCCCACCTGCAGGACTTTTCTTTTTCTTGCCACAGGTTAGAACCTTTAGTACAGTGTCAAATAGAAATGGTAAGGTTGGAATCCCTGTCTTGTTCCTGATCTTAGGGGTAAAGCATTCAGATTTTCACCATTAAGTATGATGTTAGCTGCAGGCTTTTTATAGATGACCTTGATCAAGTTGAGGAAGTTTCCTTTTATTCCTGGTTTGACGAGAGTTTTTATCAGGAATGAATGTTGGATTTTGTCAAATGCTTTTTTTCTGGGTAAAGGTGATTATATGGGGGGGGAGGGGGGCGGTGCCTGGGTGGCTCAGTTAAACGTCTGCCTTCAGCTCAGGTCATGATCCCAGGGTCCTGGGATCGAGTCCTGCATTGGGCTCCTTGCTCAGCGGGGAGTCTGCTTCTCCCAATTGTGCTCTCCCCCTGCTAGTGCTCGCTCTCACACTCTCTCTCAAATAAATATATAAAATCTTTTAAAAAAAGGTGATTTTATGGTCTTTCTTTTTCAATTTGTTAACATGGTGAACCTATTGATTAATTTTCTAATATTAAACTCACCGTCCATTCCTGGGATAAATTACACTTAGTCATAATGGATTATCCTTTTTATATATTGCTGGATAGGATTTTCTAATTCTTCTTTCTTTATTTGACACAGAGAGAGAGAGAGAGACAGCGAGAGAGGGAACACAAGCAGGGGGAGTGGGAGAGGGAGAAGCAGGCTCCCGGCTGAGCAGGGAGCCCGATGCGGGGCTCGATCCCAGGACCCTGGGATGGAGCCCGATGCGGGGCTCGATCCCAGGACCCTGGGATCATGACCTGAGCCGAAGGCAGACGCTTAACGACTGAGCCACCCAGGCGCCCCTGGATAGGATTTTCTAAAATTCTGTTTAGAATTTTTGCATCTATGTGCACGAGGGATACTGGTCTGCAATTTTCTTATAATGTCTCAGTCTGGTTTTGCTACTAAAGTAATGCTGGCCTCAAAATAAGTTGGGACGTATTCCTTCCTTTTCTGGAAAAGTTTCTGTGGACTTGGTAACATTTCTTCTTTAAGTGTTTGGTAGAATTCACCAGTGAATCCATGTGGGCCTGGATTTTTCTTTGAGGGAAGGTTTTCAACTGCAATGTCAGTGTCTTGAATAGAATCCTGTTGTTTTCCAGTTGAGCTGGTGAGAGCAGGCACCATCCCTGGCCCTGTGTGAGCACTGGGCGCGGCTCCCTTTCATCCTCTCAGGATTTTTCCAGCCCAGGAAGCTCCCTCACACCCGTGCATGGATCAGTACTCTACCAAATGTACCAGAGGGACTCGGTAAATCCCACAAGTTCTCTCTGTCTGGTGCTCTCCTCACCTGTATTCTATTTTGTGAATTCTAGCCACATTGGTCTCCAACACTGTCAGCTCTGTCTCCCCAGCTCTGGAGTCTGCTTGGCTTCCCTGGGTCCTCCTCCTTGACCTGTGGCCTGGAGACTCTCTCAAGGAAGGACTGGGACAGCTATAGGGCTTACCTTGTTTGCTTGCTATCCCTCAAGGATTATTGTCCTCCACTGGTTGATGTCTGCTCTCTTGAAAAACAGTTTTCTACATATTTTGTCGGTTTTTCAATGTTTCTGGCAGGAGGGTAAGTCCAGTCCACATTACTCCACTCCAGCTTGGCCAGAAGCAGACATGATGGTGGCCAAGGAGTGGTACTAGCAGCTCCTGTCTCCTGATGGTTTGTTTCCCAGGCCTCTGTAACTCAGGGGCTGCATTTTAGATTCATATTTCTCCCTTTACAGGCTCACTACAGCTCTCTGCTCAGGGTGGTTGAGAGCCCTGGGGGATCTAGATCCCACTGGGGCAACTGGGCTGCCATGCTTCCCATTTCAGATGGGGGAGGCTGGCACAGCCACGCACCCAGGCACCATTTTGTTGCTTGTTTGAGGGAATCCTCAGGCATTAATGTGGACTCGCTGCCACACAGTGAGGCTCTTCTAGGCTGAGCAACTTGGGCACATTCTATCCAGGCCCTGTGCTGTTTCTGGTCTCTCTTAGGGTCCTAGGGTGGGGTGGGTGTGGGGAAGCAGTCACATGCTGCCTTGGAGAACTCAGGAGAATCGGTGAAGGAGAGCCACTTCTAATAAGAATTGTTATCAAGAAAGGAGGGGGGAGAGCAACAAGGATTTCCGAGGGAGGAGCAGACACTGTCAGGCTGGGCACTGTGCCCATCGGAGAGGCGGTGCTCTTCCTTCTCAGCATGCATGCCACGCAACCCTCCTGAGTTCTGTTTTTGCAGAGGACCCACAATGTAGGCTTCTATCCATGTGCACTTCCAAAATGCCAAAAAACCCATAGTTAGGAGACTATAAAAATGTACCCTTGAACCAAGATTCAGTGGATGTGGTGTGGTTTGGGGGTTATTGCTTAGAGGAGGGGACCACGGAAAGCTAAATGCAGTTTCTTCAGAGTGGTGCCTTTTCCTGCACTGCTGGCTTGCACTCTTCATTCTTTGGATAACACCCCTAGGGCATGATCTCCTGGGGAAGCCACCCTCTCCACTCTTCTCCCCATCCTTCGGTGAGGCTGACCACACCCCGGGCTCCAGGAGTGGGCATGTGACCTGGGCCTAATCAATAAGAGGACTCTATCACATCCCTATTGTAATGGGCTCAGGAAAGCCAATACATGAGTGCCCCAGGGCTTTTCTAGAACTCTGGAAAGGGACATGCCTTTTCACGGAGGGATTTGAAGCCTTTGTTGCTGGTGGTCCCATCTGCCACCACATGGGAAGAGCCAGGTGAAGGATGAAGCCCACGGAGAGGAGGCAGAGTTGAGACCCTGGAGGGGTCCCACTGAACATCACTTAAGCTTTTCAGCGACATGAGCCAGTATGTTCTCCTTTTTGTTGAAGGCCATTTAGGCTGAGTGTCTGTTGTATAACTAACAGACCAGATTGGTGATTTCATTGCAATGTGAAGGATTCCTCTTTCTAAGGTGTTCAGGAAGCTCTTATAACTCATCTCCTGGGCTAACTTTTGTCAGTCATCATTGACCCGTGGCCTCTCTCTCCCAGCCCTGACCATGTGAGCATTCCAGGCTGCATACGACACAGGGGAGCTGGTTGCCGGTCCCGGAGGAGTGGCCCTCACCTGCATGTTGTTCCAGGCAGCCTCCCCGCGGCCCCGGACACAGCTCTCCAGCCTCAGTGGGGAGCCCAGGGCCCCATGCTTCGTGTCGGCACACAGCCCTGTGCCCACATTGTGGATCTGAAAGAGACAGAAGGAAGGAGGGGACCAGTGAGCACCTTGAGATAACCCCCTGGGACCATGCTGGGGTGGGAGGAGGGAACCCAACAGAGACATCAGATGGGGAAAGCGCTGCACGGTCTTAAAAAAGCTTGGCCTGGGCTGGGGGAAGTGCCCTGTGCCTCTCAATACAGGAATACTCAGTCCACAGAGAAGAACTCTTCCAGAGCCTGCTTTGTCTTAGAGCATGCAAAGTCACAGGGTGCTGGGGGTGGTGGAAGGCCTAAAGGTGGGGGGGGGGGTGGTATTCAAAGGACTCCCTGGCTCCCCTCCCAGAGAATTTGATCCACTAGGTCCAGGAATTGAATTTTATTCCCATTCCAGGTGATCCAGGGACCATACCTTGAAAACCACTCTAGAAAAGGACATGACATCTTTGCTGTAGGGTCTTGGACTCTCTGCCTTCTAGAGCAGGTGAATGGCAAAAGGTTCTCAATCCCAAGAACAACAGAAGTTGCAGTGAGACAGGTGTGGTGTGGTGGGAGGAGCCCCAGGCTGGGAGCCGAAGGCCTCACTGCTCCCAGTTAGCCAGCATCACTGGCTGATGGCCACCGTGATGGTGCCGTATCCTGGAGTTCCTGCCACATTGTGGGGTTCCTGCCTCAAAGAAGCACTCGGTTTTGACAGAGGGTTTGGAGGTGTGGTGGTCGTGAGTTATCCTGTGGTGGCCACCCAGTTATCCTGTTGCAGGGAGTCTGACTGCCCAGCGGCTGTGTTCTGAACCCACTGTGTCTGAGTGGAGGCCATGCTCCCTGTGTGCTGCTTCCAGCCAGCATCTGAGGGTGGCAGGGGCACTGCAGCAGGCCCGTTCCTGGGGATGCCAGATTCCTCTGATCTGGCTTAGTTACTTGGCTCAAGCTTCCTCAGAGCATCTTTGCAGTGTGGGACTCCTCCTGTCCCAGCCCTTCCTCCTCCCCTCACCCCCTCCCAGAGGGCAGACCAGCCAGCCCCACAGTGAATCTCCCAGCCTCTCCTGGCTCCCTTCTTATTTATTCTCTCAGGTGTTCCCCCAACAAGTCTTTTGGTGTCTGTTTCTCAGAGGACTGGACCTAATACAGGGGAGAAAGCCCATAAAATGGCAAAGAAATGAAGAGCTTCATGAGGGAAGTCAACATGACACGTCCTTGTACAGGTGTTGGGTAGGGCTGGCCAGACAGCTTAGTCAGTTAAGGTCCCTCTAACTTGCTGTGTGAAGTTGAACAAGTCATACCTGGTGTTTCTGCTGGCCCAAATGCATCTGTCCTTCCTCTGGTAACAACACCCTGATTTCCCTCCCCCTCCCTTTTTTTTTTTTTTAAAGATTTTTTTTTTATTTATTTGACAGAGAGAGAGACACAGCGAGAGAGAGAACACAAGCAGCGGGAGAGGGAGAGGGAGAAGCAGGAAGAAGCAGGCTTCCCGCTGAGCAGGGAGCCCGATGCGGGGCTCGATCCCAGGACCCTGGGATCATGACCTGAACCGAAGGCAGACGCTTAACGACTGAGCCACCCAGGCGCCCCCCCCCCTTTTTTTTAAAATATTTTATTTATTTGACAGAGACAGAGAGACAGCGACAGAGGGAACACGAGCAGGGGGAGTGGGAGAGGGAGAAGCAGGCTTCCTGCCGAGCAGGGAGCCCGTTGTGGGGCTTGATCCCAGGACCCTGGGGCCATGACCTAAGCCGAAGGCAGATGCTAATGACTGAGCCACCCAGGCACCCAACACCCTGATATGCTATGGGGCTACCACTCCTTGTCCACCCTGTGGCCTGTCAGAGTATCTGTCCTACTCCTGCTTGTCCTGTGGACCGCTGCAGACCCAAGAATAAGACCTTTGCTGGCTGTACTGGGAAGGAGGCATATACTTTCTGCTGACTGGCCAAGCTGACGGTTTGTCAACCATCTTGCTACCCTCAGCATGAGGCTAACACAGAAGGAAGCAGAGGTAAACAGGAGAAAAAGAAACTGACATCATTTGAGTCCCTGGATCCAGGTGTGTCCAAAGCAACAGCTACCCAAAATTTCTACGAGAATTAATACATTTCTCTTTTCATTTTAAATTGGACTTCTGTCGCCTACAAGTAAAGGAGATCCAACTCTTATGCTCATTGTCCCCAAACCTCAATATATCCATCTATAAGGGAGTGGTTCCTCTCAGCTCAGAGACCCAGAAGCCAGAATCTGGTGACGGAGTGCTTCTCGCCCTGGAAGATGGCCTGTGTCTCCCAGCAGGACTGGCTTCCTAAGTGTATGACATGGGCAGCGGCCCAGGGCCCCTCAGCCAGAAGGGCCTGCCATTGGCTTAAAGTTCTGCTATCACTGTCTTGAATTTTTTTTTTAAAGGTTTATTTATTTGTTTCAGAGAGGGGGGTGCAGAGCGAGAGCGAGAGTGAGAATCTTTTATTTTTATTTATTTTTTTATTCTTACGTCAATCCCCTACATCACATCATTAGTTTTAGATGAAGTGTTCCATGATTCATTGTTTGTGCATAACACCCAGTGCTCCATGCAGAATGTGCCCTCCTCAATACCCACCACCAGGCTACCCCATCCTCCCACCCCCCTCCCCTCTAGAACCCTCAGTTTGTTTTTCAGAGTCCATCGTCTCTCATGGTTCATCGCGAGAGTGAGAATCTTAAGCACAATCCCCACTGAGCACAGAGCCCAACTCGGGGCTCCATCTCACAACCCCGAGATCACGACCTGAGCCAAAGCCCAGAGTCAGACACTCAACCGACTGAGCCACCCATGCGTCCCATCATAGTTTGATTTTTAGTAATCTGATTTTTGAATTTGTAAGTGAAACCTGATAGGACAACGGAGCACGAGCGTGAGCAGAGCTGATGACACACTACACGTGCATCCGCTGTACCTTTCTCCTGTGTTTGCATACAGCATCTGTGATGCCCCACAAGCACAGCATCCCGGGGGTCCCGCATGCACGGGAGTTTGGCAAGACTCAAGTTACGGCTATGATTAAGTGGGGTGCTGGCAGGTCTGAAGGCCACCCTTTCCTTTCCAACCAGGACTAGACTGCACAAAGGAGGGCCATGGCATTCTGGGCCGATGAGTTCTATCGTATCCTCTTACTTGTGTTACTGCCCTGGACCAGCCACGGCTCCCCTCACCAGCAGCAGATAACCGCACAGAAGGAAGAATAGGACAGCCCATAGTTCGCTTTCCTTCCACCCTTCCTCACTCATCAGCAAGCTGCAGGGAGAGCATCTTGGTAGAAAGTACGCATTATCAACAAGTGAAATAAGATCAGCTGAGTCAGTTCTGTGCAGGGTTTGCACTGTTCTGGTAAGAAATACATATGCATGCACAAGGGTTGAAATACAGATTGTGAAATTTCACCCATCTGGCACATGAGTTAAATGCTCTTCTGTTTGCATTTAAAACTGGCACTGCAGAATATGAAGATGAATGGTAAGATTTCTGCTAATAATTTAAGGTTTTAATTTTTCCCTACTTAGAACATTAAATAGCAAATAAAAAAAACCCACCACCACAAGGCTAGAATCAGGAGAGCTGCATCTGCATTTTGCACTGGGCCCCACTTATGTAGCCGCCCGGGCCCTCCGGACTCACCTCCCCCCAAGCTGCGGCGGGGGGCTCCACGGGCGGGTAGAATTTGGGCAGGTCCCAAGCAATCTTGGTCATAAACCACTTGAAACTCTTGCAGTTAAGGGAGCTGCGCAGCTTCTTCTGGGCGGCGACGTCCCCAGCAGAGAGGTGGCGGTACTCGGGCCGGCGCTGGTAAATGTGCTCGGCATACTCATCCATCCACACTTCCGCCACTCGCTTCAGGTTCTGGAGGGCGACAGGCAGGTGGAAGGGTCAGGCCCTCCGAGGGGCCGAGGCCGGGGAGGGGAGCAAGGGTCCTGGAAGTTGAGGTTAATCCTTATTTTACGTTGCATCAAAGACCCTAGCCCCACCGTGTTTTTAAAGCCTTCTATACTTACTTATGCATGGTTTTAGGACTCTACAACTACTGGCTGAATAAAAGATGGCTGGTGTTTTACCCGCCCATCTTCCACCCCCTTTTTCTGTCTCCTCTGCCTCACTGTCCTCTCAGGTGGCTTCAGGAAAAGGTACATGAACCAGCCTGACGAACGGGAACCAGCACGGGCATAGCGATTGGCCAGCAGCGACCACGTGACACACACAGAGCCAATCAGAATCAAGAGGCGGCAGTCTTGGCAATTTCACTGGAGCTATAGGGAAGAATTGCTCTGTTTCTGCTTGGATTGCTGGGTAAGGTCTGACGCGTGAGATGGAGGCCGGAGCTGCTGGGCCACGGGGAAAACCTGACCAACGGTGAATGAATGAAGCAGAGCTGAGGCCTAGACGAGAAACACACTCCTCCTTTTAGTACCTGAACCCGGCCGTGCCTGAAGTGAGCACTATCCCGGGACCTTCCGTTCACTGAAGTCGGTAAATTCCCTTTCTGCTTATGCCAATGTGAGTTGGGTTTCTGTCATTTTCTACTGAGTGCTGACCAAGTTGCCTGGTGAAAACAAATGATAATTTGCAACCAAAAGGTTGCAGCAGCTGGAATTTTAAATAATCCTTTGAGGTGCAAAAGTTGCTGCTACGTTTGTTATGAAACAAGGATAATCAATAAAAAAAGGACAACCACATTATTGGCAAGTAGGGGCAGCAGGCAGGAAAACCACCTGTTTGTGGGTAGATTTGGAGATAGAGGAAAAGTGAATTCGTCCGTGTAACCAGGAGGAAGATTCCTCATTCCATCTGTAGGTGTACATACCACCTGCTGAGAACCACAGACGTCTGGTCTGGAAGAGCACAGCTTCAGGGTTCAGGCGAAATTCTCTGTTCCAAAACATCTTCCTCCAACCCCTGGCTGTTGTCGGAAATCTGCCTTTCGACTCAACATTCAACTCTCCAGGCTTTATCTCTATCGTAAAGGTCGCTCCCCCACCCCCACCGCCACCCCGGCCGCCCCCACTGCAATCCAAATTTTCTTATGAAGCGTAAAAGGGAGTTAGCATTTTAAGCTGTATCAGTCATTCACACCTCAGTGTAAATGACTGCTCCAGAAGCAGAAGGTAAGGCAGGGGTCGACAAGCGTTTTTTGTAAAGGGTGAGATTGTAAATATTTGAGGCTTTGCGGACCATATGGTCTCAACTCTGAGGTAGTTATAAAGGAGCTCTACACATTATGTAAATGAATGGGTGTGGTGATATTCCAATAAAACTTTATGGACATTGAAATTTGATTTTCATGTATCACAAAATATTCTTTCATCTTTTCACCCTATTTAAAAATGTAAAAGTCATTCTTAGCTCATGGGCCACACAAAGCAGTTTGCTGACTCCTGAGCAAAGAGGAAGGAAGCCAGCAGGAGGCGGGGCTCCATGCCAAAGGCAAAATTCGCCAACTCCTCCATTGTGCTGACTCTTGAGTTTGGGACTAGGAAGGCATTAAATTTCCTTGCCAATGCCTCATTCTTTCTGAGCGCTGAAGAGGTTGACAGTGGGTTGGAAGTAATTAAGGAACAGTGTTCTACCTGCCAGGCCCCTACACGGCAAAGGCTGGGCTTAATTTAAAATTGTGCCCCAAGGAAGCTGAAAGCCTAAAAAAGCCTGCACACCTGAAGACTCTTCTTTTTCCAGTCTGCCCACCCAGGTCCTTTGGCACACTAATTTGCTCATGCCACAGGGATGCTGAGGAACTGCTACAGTTTTTTCTCCAACCACAGGCTAAAGTGGCCAATCTGACCAAATTCACCAGTGTGATGATAAAAGGATCAAATCACACAGTATTTTAATTGATCCTTAAATTACTATTTTAATGAATATTGCACTTTTTAGACATGCCTCTCCCAGATTTTGAACTTTTGTACAGTTGACTGTTTTGACCAAAGTAAAGGACTTTACATTTACTTCTATTACATCTCCCCTTGCTAGAGTCACACAAAGGACTCTGGGATTTTAGGAGGCTGCGTGCTCCTCTCATCCGTCCCCCTGACACCTCCCTAGTTCCAGGTCCCAGTCCTGCTGGAAGCTGCTCTGTTCTTCTTGTGCTTGCATTACAGAGATTTGCCCAGATCCTTGGAATAAGAGGCCATTTTTTTTGGCGAGTTTGAATGGGTTTCTGTTACTTCTTTCTCTAAGATCCCTTTCCCAGGGGCAGAGACAAGAAGGATTTTTAATAAATTTAGTAAACAAACTAAGACTGGCTACTTGTTCTTGAGGTAGGAGAGCTGCTGGTTAGCTCATCCTTCTTGAATTGCCACTTCACTGCTCTCTAGCTGTTTGTCCTGGAATCCGACAACTTTAGTAAGAACTGAGGTTTCTCTCTTTATGTGGCTCTTTTAGGACTTTTAGACAACCTCTTCTCAAATCTATCAAAATGATCTTCTAGGAGATAATGCTCTAGAAGAATTTGGCTGTTAAAACAAGAAGCAAACATTTACAATATGATCTGCAACTCAATGAGAGTAGTTAGATACCATGATAAAAATTCAGGGGAGCTTGATTCAGGCATCTTTGTGGTCCTGTAAACCTACGTGGGGTGCCCCTCTGATTGTTAACTGGTTTAAAGTCACCAGGAGACTGATAAGATACTGAGAGTTGAAAAAGAAGTTAAAATGTTTAAACACGGAATTGAGAGAAGACATTGAAATAAACTTCCCAGTCTTGTTAACAGATGGTGACATTAACACTAACAACAGCAACCACTGTTTAAGGGACAATTGCTCTGTGCCAGGCACTGGTCAGACCTAAGTGGGTTTGAATTCTAGTTAATGTCTCCACATTTCACTTTCCTCATCTCTCAGACGTGGATTAAAAGCATAGGAGAATTAAGTTCGATAGATATGTAAGATGCTTTGCATGAAGTCTAGCTCACAGGAAGTTTTTATGTGTTACTACAGTTAGCTATTATCCATTGAATTCATCTGTGGTTCAATAAACAGGAGGTCGTGGTGCCTTTTAACCAGGTGGGTCTTATAAATGACCAGAGAAGAAAAGGCTGCTTTGGAAACGATCCTGCTGAGGGGTCAGAGGTGTCCCCACGGTCCCACCACTCCCAGTAGTTGAGAGTCGCGCGCGCTCTTGGGCTTACTGAGCGACTTTGCACTGTCTTCCTGTCTGGCGTCTTTCTCGGGGCTTGCCAACAGGATCTCAGAAGAAACCTGATTCCTACCTCACTTGCTGAGTCTAGAACCGGCCGCGCACCCCGCGTCGGATGGGCTGTCCGAAGCGCCGAGGGCCGGTGCCTGGCTGTCATTGTAATCTTCTACCACTAGAGGGCACTGCTGGCTCTCTTTTTCTTCAACGCGGGGCCCAAAGCAGCCCCGGCCGCCTCCGGAGCTCAGCTCCCACCCATGGATGGAGCCCGGGCTCCCGCTGCCTGGTGGAGCCGCCCAGTCTTCCGTGTAACTTGCAGGACCGGGGCTCTTCGTGACCCCGGGCCTACAGTTCTGCACGGCATCCACTGTCGGGTGATATGGGAGGGGAAGGCGGCGGCAGGGCCGAAGGAGGCTGTCTGGACTGATGCCAAACAGGCTCCCACGGAGTGTCTCTGTCGGGAGGGGTCTCCACCAGGCACAGCTGTGCCGGTTACCTGGTTACCTTTCCAGCTTCCCACAAACCTCTCTGCGGCCCTCTTTACCTTCTGGGGCCCTCCCCCCGCCCCATTTTTCTCTTGTGGTCACCTTGATTTTTTTTTTTCCTCAAGACACTTAATATTTTAAAACTTAAGGTTTAGGGGAAGATCATTAATACAAAAAACAAAACCAACCCCAAAACAAGCCTCTGGCTAACAGAGTTCTATGTGTAGCCAGTGGCCAATTTAATTCAAGCAATGATTAATACAAACCATCTTAAGGTAATGGAATAGTTTGACACAGAATTTTTGGCAGTGAAAGTGGGGGAGGGAGCGGGGGGGGGCGGTAAGAGAAAGACACTGACATTTATTAGCCACCCTCCTGCCAGGAACTTTTAAGTGCCTTGCCTCAGGCTTTCCCCAACACACCACTCCACCTGTATTGATATTTATCTAACAGGTTTCTTTAAATCACTCCTCGTCTAACTTTGCACCTACTTCAGCTTTATCCTAAGTAATCAGATCTGGAAAATCACAAGTTAGCTACACTAATACATATTAATTTCTAATGCACATTAATTTAAACACATGTAAATAAAAATGTTCCTATGTCTGGCACCTAAAATCATCTTGTCTGTCACACTTGGGGAAACTGTGCCATCTCCTTAATTCTCTGGCAATGCTAAGAGTTGTGAAAAATTAGCTTCCTTTGAACAAAAGAGGAAACACAGGCTCAGAGGAGTTAAGGCTCTTAAGGTCACAGGGAATGGGTGGTTAAGCAGGGCTTTAAGTAAGTTATTTTAAATTGGATTTCACCTAGAGAGTTGGGGGGAGTGGTGGCACGCACATCCTCACACCTGAGTCACTTGGCTTGGAGTCCCAGGTATCTCGGGAGGTCTCTGCTGTGCTGATGGGCCCAGCCCCCTCCCGCCTCCCCATCCAGGGGAGCCACCACCTTACCCGGGCCAGGCTGACTCCGGCGGGAACCTTGTAGGGTACATACTTCCGGTAGATATGGCCCACCCTGGAGCAGGGGATGTCCTCCATGCGGCCCCCACACATCCACACCTGCAGGGCGGGAAGGGAGAGAGAAGATGATATTTCTGTCTCTCATTCACCATTGCCCCCAAAGGTCACCGTCGCCTCCTTCCATGCATTCACTGAAAGCATCAGCTTGGATTGTCTGCTAAAGCCCCCATTCACAGAGCGAGGAGGAAACCACGGTAGTACCAGCAGTGGTTTTAAATAGCTGACAGCGTTGAGTGCTTTCTCGTTGCCAAACGCTATGGGACAAGCTCCCCACGCACAACCGCATGTAAGCCTCATCAGAAACCCTATAAAGCGGGTAGTAACGGAGCTCCACTTTACAGAAGAAGAAACCAAGGCTCAGAGAAGCTAAGAGGCTTGTCTAAGGTCGCAGGGTTAGTGAGTGGCAGAGCCAGAATTTAAACCCCGCTTCAGCTGACTCCAGCTGAGCAAGTGCAAGTGCGCGGACAGCTGTGTTGAGAATTCTAAGGTGGCAATGGGGGCTCAGTGGGAAGGACCGCGGGGATCGCTTAGTGATGTCTGCCACAGGTATGAGAGGGGAAGAGATGGCACACAGGCTCTGTATATTACTGACTGTGGCCTCAGGTTCTGGAGTTTCCTCCGAGATCTCTAAGCCTCCTGCTGGGTCACCCTGAGCAGAGACAGCAGCCTCCCTGCCCCGACTTCTCTGCAGTCTGGCTCCCTAAGCCCCGCAGCTGCTATCACTGCGGAGGGGAATCCCAAGTTTCTCCTCGTGTTTCCCTACAGAGCTGGCATTACAAAGAGCTCCTGAGCTTGATGCATGTTGGTCTGATGGCAATTTGGGAATTCTTCCTAAGTATGCTGACTCACACCCACTGCGGAGCCCAGGGTAAACGGACCCTCCTCAGCAGTCCTGGCTTCAAATCCTAGCTCAGCCACTTACCAGGTTTGTGACTTTGATCAAGGTACTTAACTTCTCTGAGACTCAGTTTCCTCATCTGTGGAGGATTACATGAAGCGGGCCCTTGGGGATGAGATATCACATGTGAGGCGCTTACTTAGCACAAGGCTTGGCACACGGTCACAGCAGTGACATGCGCCACAATGATTCATTCAGACATTTGACTAATATGTATGGAGTATCCGCTACATGCTAAGCATTGTGCTGGGCACATACAGTGGTGAGTCTGCCAAAGCCCTTGCTCTCATGGATGGTGACTATGGTGCCCAGCTCCAGGATGGCCCCCAGTGAGCCTTGCCTTCTGGTATTTGCACCTTTAGGCAGTTCCCTCCCAAATGTGTCCTGTGAGGACGGACCCGTGTAACCAACAGAAAAGTGCAGAAATGAAGGTCATAAAAGACACCGTGGCTCCTGCCTTCCTTCGGGACCACTTGCTTTGGGGCCCCCAGCTGCCATGCCGTGAGGTCATCAGGCAGCTCTGTGGAGAGGTCGGGTGGTGAGGAGCTGAGGCCTCCTGCTTATCGTGTGAACGGGCCAGCCAGGTGAGCGAGCCTCTGAGAAAGGGATCCTCCAATCCCAGTCTATACCTCACATGCCGGTGGTCCTGGCCGACACCTTGACTGCAGCCTCGTGACAGACCCGAGCAGAACTGTCCGGCTAAGCCTCTACTAACTGCCTGAGCCACACAAACCTTGCCATACTTTCACTGCGGCTTTAGGAGGGGATATTGGAGGTATGCGGTGTTCTTTTCCTGTGGCGGTAGATAACTAACACAAAGGCAGTTTCAGATAGTGATGTGTGCTATAAGGGAGCCAAAGCAAGGCCAGACTCACTGTATGGATCTATGGATCTATGAGAGGTTCCGTTATACTGGTCAGGGAAATCCTCACTTCGAAGGGAATATTAGACACGAGACTTAAATAATGAGAAGGTAAAAGTAACATAAAGATCCGAGGGGTGAGAGAACAGGTGGAGAGAGGAGCAAGTGAAAAGGCCCTGGGGTAGGGCGAGGCTTGGCTTAATCACTGAACAGAGAAAGCCAGAGGCCTGGAGCAGAAGCAGAGATCGGAGGGGAGGTCAGAGAGGTGAGCAGGGACAATCATGAGGGTCTCACAGTGCAAAACAAGGAGTCTTCAGCAAAAGTGTTTAGTGAGGGTGACAATATAATCCAATTTCTATTTTACCAAGATGACTCTGCCTGTGGGGTGCAGAATGGGCTAGGGCGCAGGGAGGGCCTGGGAGGCTCTCGCACATAGAGGCAGTCATGCTTCGGTTTTGTGGACGCTGTGGTGATGGTAGGACTCAACTGTACTTGGGACGTTACATATATATATTTATTTAAAATGGGCTCCACGCCCAGTGCGGAGCCCAATGCAGGGCTTGAACTCATGACCCTGAGATCAAGACCTGAGATCAAGAGTCGGTTACTCAACCGACTGAGCCCTCCAGGCGCCCCTCGGGGCATTATTATTAATGTTGTTCCCCTGTTCCCTTGTTTATGAATGAGGAGCAGGAGTGGGAACATCTGCAACCCCGATTCTGTGCAAGAGTATTTTTCAGCTTGTACGGCTCAATGGCATAGTGGGGATCTGGCTTCCTGTCTTAGTTATTTCACAGGCTCTAGAAGGGCTGCTTTTCCACCTCATGCACCTGGGCGTCCTCAGTCCCTCATTACCCTCCGCAGCCACCGTCTCCGACCACCCCGGGTTGTACTGCACCCAGGGTTCCTGCAAGGGGATATGTGTGCATGGGGCGGCAATTAGTCGAAGTGCTGCCTGGAGAAATGCAATTATAGTCTGATCTTGGGGGAGAAAAAAAAACTGAGCAAGTCAATAGAACAGAACATTGGTCTTGAGATAATGGGCTCCTGATGGTAGATTAATGTCAAGGCCAAGCCAAGAAGTTTATTTTCAAAGCAGGAGATATTGATCAGGCGCCAGCATCCCATAACAATAACTCTTCCTTTATACAAAATGACTGATGTGGAAGTGATGCTTTTGTCTGGTGGATATTGCCCAGCTCGGCGCTGGGCTGCCCCTGCCTTTTGGGAGGGAGAGTGGCGCTGAGCAGGCGGGAGATACCTTACCCCGCTCTATTTTTGACTGTCTCCTGGGCAGTTGACTAGGCCGGCGTCCAGCTCCCCGGACTCCATATTAAGCTCGCATTAGCTAACGAGGATGCGTCTCCAGCTCTGCCTGGCAGGGAACCTTCCTTTATGTAGACAACAATCAATCTCCAAATCCTTCTCTTTGCTGTGACCTCTGGTTTCTTTGGCCCTGACCACGCTGGCCATCAGCCTGAAAGTTCCTGAAGGACCAGGATGTCCTTGATCTGCTGAGAGGTTTGAGGCATCCAAAATATCCTCAGACTTCCAGGACGTCCGGAGCCCAGAAGGAGTCCTGGTTTGGGATGACGGGTTTACTCCTCAGCCTCCCTGCCCTGAACATGATCCAGTGACAGCCGACTCAGAATGGGAACTGCCTTCAGACACACAGATACCTATTCAGCTGAAGCTGCTGCCAACTCCCGAGTCCTCTGGGAGCACCTGAACAGCCTGGAAAGGGCCCAGTGCAGGGCGCACCCAACTCTTCACAAGTCCCTCTAGCATCTTCCAAGCGGTCAGCACCTCTGTGGTGCTCGCTGGTTATGTGGCAGGATCCCAAGACTGGAGGGGACTCTCCCACCAGGAACAGGACAAAAGCTGGAGGCACAGAACGGGGTCCTGACTCGCCCCGGGCTGGGGTGTGGCCAGAGGTGCTCTTGATCCCAGGTCCCGTGGTCCTGCTCACGGCCCTGGTCCCCCGTCTGTGTACCGTTAGGGCCCTCTCCCGCCTGCCTTCACAGCCGAGGCAGCTGCCCTCGAGACCCAGGACAGCCATGGCACGGGGGCTCTGAGCACAGCCCCCCATTCCCAATGCCGCCTCGTGCGGCCGTGTGGCTACGAGGCCCTCACCCCGGGAGCCGCAGTCTCCTGTGACCTGGGCATGACGGCTCACCGCTACCTCGCAAGGCCGCTCACGTGGCATGAGACAGTCGTGGAAAGCACTTAGCTTGATGCCTGGCCATAGCAGACTTGACCACGTTCGTCATTTCTGTTTGCAAAAGAACGGGAAACACCACCAGCTTGAAATGATACAGCATCTGCCCCTTTGCCCAACACCATCGTGGTTTTTATCCTATGGCCCGATTTCTGAAACGGAGAAACTGAGGCTCAGAGACATGAAGTGGTTTTTCTGACTTGGTGGCAGAACCTGCAGCTGACGGGAATGACAGGGCCAGGTGGGGCTGGCACAGGCATGGGGCACCACTGGGGGCCCGGCAGCCCCAGGGTGCTCGCCTCTCCCCCAGGTAACACACTGGCAGCAGACTCCAGCTGGTGGCAAAGAGAAGGGGTGGGGCGCAGCCAGCAGCAGCCAGACTACATGTGGCTGGGACCCCCTCCTAGTTGGATGCGGACACACATCGACCACTGAGATGAGGTATTTGCAACCCCTCTCTGCCGTCGGCTTCCTTCCCTCCCTCCCTGTGCAGCCCCTCGCCGGCCTCCACACCCACGGGGGACGCGGCTGCCGGCTCTACCACGAGGAGTGTGCAACCTCCTCCACCACCCCATCAGCTTGTTTCTTGGTGCCTTTCTCCCCTGCAGAACAGCCTTCTCACTTCTCGTGGAAGCACCATGCCACTAGACAAGTACAAATCTAATTGCAAAAGCTTGCTCCCCATTCATTTTCATTGCTGCTTTATTTTATTAGCAAACTTCTTTTGTGTGATGACAGGCTTCATTACAGTGTCTATAAAAGACAATTACTTGCTCTTATCTCCTAAACTGAGGGGGAAAGAAACAAGTGGTGATGTGCATCAGGAAGACACACGGGGGCCCAGAGAGCGCGTGGCAGAAGGGCCTGTCCTGTTGGGGGAGCCTCCCTCTGTCGAGGACACGACTGCCTGGGTGCCACCGAGCCTGGGCGGCCGTCCAACTGCCGACAGCCGGGAGAAGGTGACAGCCAGCCACAGCTTCTGCTCTTGGCACCTGGGCTGAGGACCCCTGTGGAGTTCAAACCCTATTTAGTTGCACTTGGGGTAAATAATAATAATTACCACCAGTTCTTCTGCATTGTCTGTGTGCTCAGAAGCTACCCGGGGTTGCTGTTAGGAGCATGGTTCTGGAGTAAGGACTGAGCTCTTAAGCAAGCTTTGGG